CCCCGCCCCGCCTCGCCTCGCCTCGCCTCGCCCCGCCCCGCCTCGCCCCGACTCGACTTCCGCCTTTGCTTCCGCGGCGCCACTGCGCATGCTTGGAGGGCTCTGGGTGCCGGCCGGGTCTCGCTTGTGGTTTCGTTTCTCACTTAGGTGGGAAGGTGGAGAAGCCTTCTACCGAAGACCTAGGAAGGAAAGACTTAACAAAAAATTGTATTTGCAGTATAATAACTTACAAAGTACTTGTATAGGTACCATCAGATCTTCACAAAAACCCAGTGAGGTGGCATTTACCAACATTTTACAGTTAAGAATCCTGAAGTTCAATCCAATCCCCTCCCCCCAGTACTGGAAATTGAACTCAGGGCCTTCTCACTGAGCTGCATCCCCAGCCCTTATTTTTTGAGACAGGATCTCACTAAGTCATAATGTGGCTTGGGCTGGGCTGAAATTTGCGGTCCTCCTGCTCAACCTCAAAGTGCTGGGATTACAGATTTCGCCACCACGCCCAACCTGAGGCTCAGAATTTAAAATACTTAAATTTTGCACAAGATAAAATGACTAGGTCTTAAACCTGGTGTCTCCCCGTCTAGCGCTCTTTTTCATTTTCCCCGTTTCCCCGCACTCTTGTCATCGTAGGTTAACTACCCCATCTGCCTCCGCTTCTATCCATCAGCTCTCCACCCCTCACCCCCGCCCCCATAACAATGACCGGAATGTAAAAATCCAGAGATGTTTGTAGGAAACCTCTATTAGTGCTGTAATGGAGGAAGGAGACCAAGGAAGATAATAAAGAGGCAGTGGAGGCTGCTATGTTGTCAGTATTGATAATGAGAGAGAACAAAATCCGTGCTTGTCCCTTGGCAATTCTCTTAGGTTTTTATTTGAAGAAGTGTTTCTTTGTTTTTTGAGACAAAGTCTCATTTTGTAGCCCAGGCTGGCCTCAAACTTGCAGCAATCCTGCCTCAGCCTCCTGTGCACCACCATGCCTAGCTACTTTTCTCTTTCTTTTTGGCCCTGAGGATTGAATCCTGGTGGGTTTTCTTTGTCCCTGTCTTCGAACCCATCCACTTTATTAAGGCCATCTGAGGAGATGATTAGGAACCGCACAACTCCTGGTTCTTAGCTCTAGGACTTGGGCTAAAAGGCAGTGTTTTTGTGTCCAGTCTTCCTGATCTGAAAGGACAGGAATAGCGGTGTCTGAGCCTGGTACTGCCTGGCAGTAAGAGGAGTTAAGAGCTCAGTGCGACTCCTGGCACCTGGCTGGTGTTCGGGGGAAAGCCAGCTGTAGTTATTGGAGTATTTGGCAGCCCTGTGATGGGGTGGGGAGTAAGATTAGACACCAAGGTCTTCAGGCCTGGTACAAAGGGATCTCTTTCTACTTTCTACCCTTTTTCTACTCTGTTTTCTATTCATTTTCTAGTCTTTCTACTGTCTTTGTAGAGTATACCAGAATAGGTAGGGAGAGACCGAAATAACAGTGCTCTCTTGCTCACTGTTCCTCCCTCTCTCCCTCTCCCCACATTGAGAAATTCCAGCCATGAGTGAGAAAAGTCACCAAATGAATTAGAACCATAGCCCAGATGGGGACTGAAATTGTCTTTTTTTTTTTTGGCTTTTCAAGACAGGGTCTCACTATGTAGTTCAGGCTGGTTTTGAACTCACTATGCAGCCCAGGCTGGCTTGGGCTCACAGCACTCCTCCTGTCTCAGCCTCCTGAGTTCTGGGATTATAGGCATTCACCACCACCCCTGGCTTGAATTTGTCTCTCATTTTCTTCTGTTCCCCCTGCTGATACGGACACTGGAGAGGAAACTTCTCCAGAGGTGAAGTTTATGACAACACACATCCATTGTCTTCCTTTTAAAATTTGGTTGTAGGCAGTGTGATGCCCTGCTTCTCGATTTCTCATCAAGTCCTTTTTTTCTGATCTGGACAGATGGTTCTGTGAATTTTGGTGGGAGCTGGTTTGGTTCCCTTGTATTATCAGGAAGTGGCCTGAGACCCGGAGACACCAAACTGAGGGGTGTTTACTGTGTGCTGGGCCAAACTCCACGGGCTCAGCCAGCTGCGGCAGACAGATTTCTTCCTGGGGAGGACATTTAGAGAATAGGAGCTATACTGTGTAGTTTGAAAATAAATTTTGTAGGGGCCAGGGATTTAGCTCAGTGGCACCGCACCTGCCTTGCAACCACAAAGGACCTGAGTTCGATTCCCAGTACAAAACAAAAAAACCTAAATTTTGTAAGCCAGGTAAGGTGGGGTTCGCTTGTAATCCTAGCATTCAGGAAGTTGAGGGAGGAGGATTGCTAAGAGTTTGGTTTGTTTTTTTTTTTTGGTACCTTGGATCGAACTCAGGACCTTGTGCTTTCGAGGCAGGCAGCAGAACCACTGAGCTAAATCCCTGGCCCTGGATGGCTATGAGTTTGAGGACAGCCTGAACTATGTAGCTAACCCCCTCTTAAAAAAACTATTATTATGTACCATCTAGAATCTGTTTCAGAGGAGTCTGGGGGTCATTCTGCCCATGTGAGTGCTGGTCCGAGTTGGAGCCAGGTGAGGGGCCCAGGGAGAGCTTTTATCCTGAGCTCCACACTGGCAGGCGTTTGACAGTCTGGTGGTAGAGATCTGCATTTGATCGAATGATTTTTCTGCAGGGCTGTGCATGGCTTGCACAGCGCCCGCAGTCCCGGACCCTCCTACAGGGTGTCCTCGATCCACGTGCCTGGATCCACTGTCACAGTGCAGTCGGCAGCGTCCTAAGGATGAGACTCGTGCCCCGTCGGGGCGTGGAGGGGTCGGGGAGTCTCAGCCCCGACACGGACGGACGCCACCTGCCGCTCTTAGCGGCCAGCGCACGGTGAGGGCGGAGGGCGGATGGGGACTCGGGACTGCGCCACACAGCCTGGGCCCTGTCCCTCCTAGGTCATGAACGACTGGATCCCCATCGCCAAGGAGTACGACCCGCTGAAGGCCGGCAGCATCGACGGCACCGATGAGGACCCCCACGACCGCGCCGTGTGGAGGGCGATGCTGGCACGCTACGTCCCCAACAAGGGCGTCACCGGGGACCCCCTCCTCACCCTGTTCGTGGCCAGGCTAAACCTACAGACCAAAGAAGACAAACTGAGGGAAGTCTTTTCCCGCTACGGGGACATCCGGCGGCTGCGGCTGGTGAGGGACCTGGTGACCGGCTTCTCCAAGGGCTACGCCTTCATCGAGTACAAGGAGGAGCGCGCGCTGCTCAAGGCCTACCGCGACGCCGACGGCCTGGTCGTGGACCAGCACGAGGTCTTCGTGGACTACGAGCTGGAGCGCACGCTGCGCGGCTGGATCCCCCGGCGGCTGGGCGGCGGGCTGGGCGGCAAGAAGGAGTCGGGGCAGCTGAGGTTTGGGGGCCGGGACCGGCCCTTCCGGAAGCCTATTAACCTGCCGGTGGTGAAAAACGACCTCTACAGGGAGGGCAGGAGGGAAAGGAGGGAGCGGTCACGTTCCCGCGAGAGACACTGGGACTTCAGGACACGCGATCGGGACCACGACAGGGGGCGGGAGAAGAGGTGGCAAGAAAGGGAGCTGGCCAGGGCGTGGCCTGACAGCGACTGGGACCGAGAGAGGGACCTCCGAGAAGACAGGCTCAAGGGGTGGGAGAAGAGGGACCGGAGCAAGTAGAGGCTAAGGGCGCCCCAGGAGGGGGTGCAACGGAGGAAAACTGTCCTGTGCACAGCATGCGTCTGGTGCGTCAATAAAACTTGCTGATGATGGGATCTGGGTAGTTTTCCTTCCGATACGGAACCAAGCGTCAAACTGGTGTTTGGTACCAGGGATCGAACTCAGGACCTTGTGCTTGCGAGCCAGGCGGCCACACCATTGAGATAAATCCCTGGCCTGTTTTGAGATAAGATCTCGCTGTATAGTTCAGGGTGGCCTTGAACTCACTATGTAGTCCAGGCTGACTTCAAAACCAGTGCAGCAGGGGATGCACCAACAGGCCCACCCTGGTCCTTTTCAGTATTGGGGCTTGAATCCAGTGGTGCTCTGCCACTGAGCTACATCCCCAGCACCACCACCCCTTTTTGTTTTTTTGCGGTACCAGGGATCAAACTCAGGACCTTGCCCTTGCAAGGCAGGTGCAGTGCCACTGAGCTAAATCCCTGGTCCTACCATTGATGGTTTTAAGCTGTGTGGTTTTTTTTTTTTGTACTGGGGATCGAAGCTGTGTGTTTTTACGAGGTAGTTTTTGCAGTGCTGGGGCAGAACCCAAGGCCTCAGACATGCTAGGGCATCATATCGCCAAGCTACATCCCCCGCTGACCCATGTTATTAACAGGATCGGTGGCAGTTTAGTTCTGGGCATGTGTTCAGGAGGGCTGCTGTGAGGAGCCACCATTCTGATTTCATTGAGCAGAAGAGAGTATGTCCTGATTTTCTCCCATGGACTTGAGATGATTTTGAGTGTGGCCAAAGGAGGTGATGGGGCCCAAACCTCACTGCTCCATAACTCCTGGACCCTCAGCAGGTCGGAGTGAGGGTTTTCTTTCTCATTTTCACACCTGCAGCCCCAGGGCTTCCTGAACTGCAATAAACATGTGTACAGAGTAAATCCAACCAGCTCCAGAGACCAAGCTGCAGGTCAGCTGGCAGCTTCTCCCCCGAAACTGCAGCTTCGCTCTGAAATGCTAACTCCTCTGCTTTAAGGCAAGGGGCTGTGATCCCAGGTGTCTTCCAGGCTTTAGCAAAAGTGGGACCAGAATGAGGTGAAGTGGGGACGGTGGAAATCAGGGAGAACTGCAGCTCGTGCTGAGGGGTCCAGGTTTCTCTTTCTGATGATCTGGGCTCTGGTTTGCTTCAAAGCTGGATCTATTGGCCTTAATTTCTGAGTTAAATACCGTACTATTCCCTTTAATTTTTCAAAATAGTGACAGTTAGCTTTTTTTTTTTTTTTTTGGTACCGGGGATCAAACTTGGGTCCTTGTACTTGTGAGGCAGGTGGCAGAACCACTGAGCTAAATCCCTGGCCCATTTTTTTTTTCTTTTAATCAATGACTGTAGTTTTGAAAGTTAAGATTCCTTGAATACAAGATTTCTCATGGGTCGGGGATCTTGCTTAGTGTTTCCGCCGCCTGCCTCACAAGCGCAATGACTCGAGTTCATCCCCAATACCAAAAAAAAAAAAGATTTCTCATGAAACAAAAACAAGTTAGTGTCAAGACTCACACTGTTTTATTCCTAGTGTTTAGTTTTGTTTTGCTTTTGTACTAGAGATTGAATTGGGGACTTTGCACTGAACTATATCCTCAGCCATTTTAATTTTTAAATTTTTTTTTTTTGAGACAGGTCTCTAGATGTAGTTCAGACTGGCCTTGAACTCATATGTGGCCTAGGCTGGCCTCAATCTTGCAGCAATCCTGCTTCAGCCTCCCGAATGCTGGGATTACAGGTGTGTACCACCATGCCCAGCTATTTTAAAATTTTTTATCTTGAGACAAGACCTCACTGGGTTGCTAAATCGCCCAGGCTGGCCTTAAACTTGTGATCCTCATTAACTGAGATTACAGGTGTGTACCACCATGCCCTGCTACTTCTGTATTCTTTGAAACTAAACTTCCTTGTATGAGAATACATTCTGAGAGCCCTAATGCACAGTGCAGTTTGAGAACCTATGAGAATACATTCTGAGAGCCCTAATGCACAGTGCAGTTTGAGAACCGAAGCTCTCTCTCAGCCGATCATTTCCCAGCCATCTAGAAAGTCTCCTTTTAGGGCCTGCAAATCCACCTGACCCCTGGGTCAGACGTCCTTGAGTGCCCTTTGCAAGTACCACCTCTCCAGAGCCAGGGCCACCCGGCCCTGTGCCCTGGAGCTCTGTGGGTGGGGCGGAAGAACGTGAGCAAGCCCCCAACTCCCAGGTGCAGGCTGGGCAGCTGGCTGAGTTGCCAAGCTGCAGGGTCCCTGCCATCTGTCACCAGCCCCTTCCTCCACTCTCTCCCTCCCCCGCCCATCCCACAAGGCTGAGCCTCCCACGGCCCCTCCCAATCTGCTTGGAGACATTTGTTTTCTTTGCAAGAGAACCATTTACATGGGAAAACAAAAGATGCTAGGAAAAAGAATGCACACCAGACACGCTGCTTATCCTTAGCAACTTTGTTTGGTTAGTACTGCAAAAGTCACAGCAGGTTCCAAGGCACACTGCCCTCCACGCAGCCACACGCTCCAGGCCTGGCCGGGAACAAGTGCTGCTCTTGCAGATATCCCCTGGGAGGGCTGTCATTTCATGTCCTGTGCTTCACATCTCAGTGGGGACAGGTCAGCCTTTGACTTCAGAGCCCGGCCATCCAGTTGATATATCCTATCCAATCTGCAATCATCACAATTTTTTTTCTGTTTTTTAAAATTATTTTTTGGCACTGGGGATCAAACTCAGGACCTTGCACTTGCCAGGCAGGTGTGGCACCACTGAGTTAAATCCCTGGCCCTACAATTTTTCTTTTGAGGCAGTCTTACTATCGGGTTTGGGCTGGCCTCAAACTCACAATCCTCCTGCCTCAGCCTCCTGAATACTGAGATCACAGAAGTGCGCCACTGCGCATGCCATATCACAATTTCATGATAATAAAAAGCTACCCTTCCTCTGCCTCCCATGGAAGTACAACAGGTGATAATAAAATCTCTACACCTAGAGTTTGATCCAGGCAATCAAACAGCAATTACAGTGATAAGTGATGTGTTTGTCTTGAGAAGCTTGTTAATGAAGTTAGCTCACAAATCTGGCCTCAGTCAGTGGGATTATTAAATATATATCCTAAGGGTCAGAGTCATCTATTAGAAACGGTGATAGCCCTGGGTATAAATACACATTTCTGTAGAGTTTGGCATCAGTGTTTCACGTCCATCCACAGAGCACAGTGTCCTTTGAGGGGCCAGTTTGGAGTGTGTGAGGCAGAACCCCCAGGTGCACTCAGTCTAGGTGGCGGCGGCCGAGGGCTGAGGTCACAGGTGCTGCAGGGCCTCCTGTCCCTGCTCCGTGTACCCGTCATCGCGGTGGGTGTTTGCCCACTGGCCGAAGGACTCGTGGATGTGCACGTTTCTCTGCATGTTGGCCAGCCGCTTCTTATCTCGGGAGAAGAAGCTAAACCTTTGGGAAGGGAAAGGAAAAGACAGACATGAGCGCTGACCCTGTGCTGGGCATTTGTTTGCAACACCAGGGACAGACAGCAGGCAGCATGGGAGGGAGCGGCCACTCAGGTGTGGGAAATGGTGCGGTCAGAGGTGCCCAAAAAGAGCCAGGGACTTCTGCAGTTGTCAGCCTCAGAACTCCGTGGTCACACGCTAGAGCAGGGCAGGGTGTGTGGGCTCCCCCACCTTGGCCACTCCCGAGGGTCCTGCCTGTGCCCCGGGGAGACAGAAAGCCACCGGAAATAGGGCATGAGTTTCTTTTATTTTTCGGTACTGGGACTGAACCCCCTGCTAGGCAGGTGCTTTGCCATGGAGCACAGCCCGGGACTCTCTAACTCCCTAATGCTGAGAGAAACGCTTGAAAGCAGTGTGGGATGTAAGGTTCTCACGGAAGCCAAGAGGATCCCTGACTGATGTAATGTCCGTCAGGAACCTGCAGGAAGCGCATCATGGGCCGCCACGGGCCATGTGTCATGGATTATTATCACTTAGGATGAAGCTACTGTGGATAGCAAGACAAAAAATGTAATAACTAAATCACGCTAGAGTTCTCCAACTGGAGAACTCGAGAAAGTGGGTGGATGAGACGTGCAGATAGGAGTCTGGACTTCCAAAACTAGATTTAATGGTGAAGCCTCTAGGGTTTACTGCTGTGACCAGTTACACAGTAAAAGCTGATACAGACCAAAACTGTTTCTCCCTTGCTTTTTTTCCTTTGGCGGTGCTGGGGATAGAACCTGGACCCTACACATGCTAGGCAGGGGTTCTACCACTGAGCTACATCCCAGGCCTTATGAGGTATTTGTTTATTTTGAGTCAGGATCTCACTGTGTAGTAAAGTGTGACCTTTCACTAAAGGGTGATCCTCCTGCCTCAGCCTCCCGAGTACTGGGATCACAGGTGTGCACCACCAGACCTGGCTCCTACTACATGGTTTTTTTGTTTTTTGGTACTGGGGATCGAACTCGGGTCCTTGCGGTTTTGAGGCAGGCAGTGGAACCACTGAGCTAAATCCTCGGCCCTATGCCACAGGTTTTGTTTTTTCCACTTGTTTTTTTTATATATATATTTATTTATTTATTGGTACCAGGGATCAAACTCGGGTTCTTGCACTTGCGAGGCAGGCAGCAGAACCACTGAGCTCAATCCCTGGCCCTGTCCATGTGTTTTGAAACTGCTATGAGTACTGCACATTGATCAGAGTGAACCAGCAGATCCCTCAAAGATAAAGAGAAATCACGAGAAGAGACCTTACAAAGAAGCCCATTTGGGGCCAGGGATTCGCCTGCTACACAAGCTCAAGGACCTGAGTTCGATCCCTGGTACCAAAAAAACAAAACAAAAAAGGCCATTCAAAACAAAGTCGGCTTCCAGACCATGTAAACAGAGACTTGAGCCTGGCCATGAACTTGAGTTCCCATCCCTGAGGACCTCCTGAAAGCTCTTTCTAAGCTGCCAAATCTCCTTCAACACTACCAGGCTCGGCTAAGATTCCTTCTGTTGTCACCAAGTTCTTACTCTTCAATTTCGGTTTCCGAACTTGGCAAGAGAGCTAAAAGAACAGCTCTCTTGTGTTTCCTGGGGACAAGAGTTGAAAGGAAGCCACGGAGACACCTGATCTTTACATGAACTATTCTTGCTTCTGTCTCTTCACCTGTTCTTTAGTGAGGTGGCCTATGGAGGTGTTTTCATCACATCTGGGTGGAAAGGATTTTACTCTTCTGTGCTTACTGTACCCTATGGTCACTTTCCCCCAGGAATAAAGTGCTCTTTTGTCACGAAGCCGAGAGTGAGTGAATCCAAGGAGATGCTCCCATGCACTGGCTCAGTTCTCTACAGCAGACACGGTGTGAGCTGGGGACAGGCAGGATGTTCCTCCTGGGTTAACTGGGAGTCAGGGCAATCAGCCGGCCACAAAACAGCAGCACCTCTGGGTTATGCTTTCCTGGCTCAGGGAGCGGGAAAGCCATTCTGACTCGGGAGAATCCACCCACTGCTCTCCCCAGCTTTCCCTTTTGCAGCCACATCCAACCAAATGGCTGCCTGGCTGGGCCTTGGCAGACAAAGCAGTTTTAGAAAGCTCTGGCATGAAGATCCAAACACCAGGTTAGTGCCACTCGGGGACAGCAGTGGGTGCTGATTACTGACCCGTCACTTAAAGGAGCTTCTTTACTGGACCATGGGCAAGGTGGTTTAGAACAGAAACAGAAGAGACAAAAAGAATTATTGGTGACAGAGCCAAGAACCTCAACTCGTGCAGTTCGAGTGCAGTGAATTCCCACTCGACACCCACTTCAGACGCCAGCACGCAGGCAATGGCCATGCAGCTCGAGGGAAAAGGAGCCAGGCGCCCCGCCCCCAAGGGAGCCGCAGAGACATTGCGGGGGCACAGCGCAAACAGAACCCAAATACACGCAGTGCCTACGAGGGGAATGAGTCGTCGCACAGGCTGCAGCGTGGGGTCATCGAGCAGCAGTCCTGCTGCCACCATGGGCATAATGGCTGTAAAGATCCTGGTTAGAGAGGTAGACAGACAGAAGATAAAAGGAGGCAGGACAGATGCCGGCTCCATGGCCATTCAGGCAAAGGGTCTGCCGCTGGGCTGCGACACAGGCCCTACTGCGTCCCCTCCCCACAGATCCTGGTTAAATCCCAATCCCAGTGGCTCAGGACACCACCTGTAGACACAGGTCCTTCCAGGTGGGCCCTGTGGGGAAGAGGGCGGCTCCAGGCCAGCAGAAGGGGGAATGTGGACAGGGACATGCGGCCAAGGGGAGTGCCACGTGCTGTGCAGTGACAGCGGTGGACACCGGTGATGCTTCTACGAGGTCAAAAGTCATCAGGAAAACAAGAGGCCTCAGCGGGTTCTCCCTCTCGGGACTGACCCTGCTCACCCTGCCACTGACAGTGGGGGCGTCTGGGGCACTGTTACAGCTGTCTGGGGACACAGGCTGTGTGACAGCCACCGAAGAAACTCAGCAGCCCTTGGCAGCCGGAAATGGCCTGGGTCCAGGGGAGAGGAGTTGGATGCACTTTGGGATTTGTGGGAAACCCCTTTCACTGCCAACACTGCCCTGAGGCAGACATTCCACATCCTCACAGCAGCCAGGGGACAGCCAGGAGTGGATGTGGTTAAAACACAGGCTGGCACCTGAGGAGGCCTGGTCCTGCCCCTCTGGATAGGTCGCAGCTATCAATGGCAATGAAGATGAGACTCCAACCAGGCTGCCAGAGCTTATTTTGAAAATCATTATTATTATTATTATTATTATTTTTGAGATAGGGACTTGCTATGTATCCCAGGCTGGCCTCAAACTCATGGTGATCCTCCTGCCTCAGCCTCCTGATTGCTAGCATTACAGACATGCACCACCATACCCAGCTTTATTTTTTTCAGATGGGGTCTTGCTATGTATCCCAGGCTGGCCTCAAACTCATGGTGATCCTCCTGCCTCAGCCTCTGGAGTGCTGGGATTATAGGTGTGTGCCACCACACTCAGCAGTTATGATTGGGTTTTTTTTTGGTTTTTTTTTTTTGGTACCAGGGATCTAACTCGGGACCTTGCGCTTTTGAGGCAGGTGGCGGCAACACTGAGCTAAATCCCCCGACCAGTTATGATTGTTTGTAAACGGGACTGGAAAAAGCTGTAAAATAATCCCTGCCAATGTGGGGGTTCGCTGAAGGGATGGCACCTGACACCCTTCACACAGGAGCTGGGAACGGCAGACCACCTGGATGCTGACCGTGGGGACGGGGTACCTTCTGCTAAAGGAATGGGCCTAGCCCCAAGAGGCCGGGCTGCCCAGCACAGGTGGCTTTCTGGGGGCTCCCAGCCACACTGCCGTGTACGCACTTTTGCCAGGAACCAAACAGGGAACACCCAAAGACAGTCACTGCATGGCAGGCAGCCCCAGTCACCAAGCAGGAGAGATGTCTGTCCACCCGGGAACGCTGGGTTTTATGTGGGGCCCATCGGGGGCCGGGCATCTGTCCAGGTGCTGGGGTCACCTGTAGGGGCCTGGCCAACCTACTGTCTGTGTCTTACTATTCCAGGCCCCACCTGGCAGAAGCCGCTGCCTCTAGCGGGACAGCCTTTCCCAGGCACTTTGGCCAAGTCTATCTAGGTCTTGGATGTCAGGCAGCGGTTTCGACTCCTCCCTCTCCACTGAGTATTTCTGGAAGACTCAAACCAAGTGCACAGGGTGGCATTTTGGGTGGTGAGATGGGCGGCTGGGAAGAAGCTATTTCCAGCTGAAGCAAGGAGGGCTGGTGGGTGGGAGGACAAGGACAGGATGCACTGTCACTGCCACTGTTGGAGACCGGGTGGCCGCCCACTCCGAGGCTGGCCTTTCCGGTGTGGAAGGCCTCTCGGGGCCCAAGCTTCGCTGCTCTCCTCACCCCAGCTGCTGTCTGTGTCCGTCCACACGCACGCACACACACACACACACACGCACGCACACACACGCACACGACTGGTGGAAGCCACTGGGTGAACAGGGGACCACAACCGAGGTGGGGATCGCACACAGGGGGTGCTGGTGCCTGGTGTTCGTGGGGGACCAGGCTGAAGTCACCAGACGCCCATGTGACCTCCCTGGGCAGTGCCAGCATGTCTCTCTGGCCGGCTGGTGACAGCTGGGTCACGAGCTATTCCTGGACCACCTTCAGGCCGCTGTTTTGACTGGCACCAGGAGTCTCTGGTTTCCTGTTGTGTTCAGCCCAGAAATATCCAGTCTGACCTCTCTGACTTGGCCACTTGAGAGATAAGGGAGCCGGGCAGTCGGCCCAGGACTGGGGACTTGGGGAAGTGGGTGAGAGAGGGAGGCCGTGGAAAGGAGTTATGCAGACAAAAAGCCCAGGTTCCAGAGCCTGACTTGCGCCTCCTGATGGCACGATCTGAGTAGAACCAGGTGCGGTGGCACATGCCTGTAACCTCAACACTCAGGAGGCTGAGGCAAGAGGGTCGCCCTGAGTTCTAGGCCAGCCCGGGCTACACAGTAAGACCCTGTCTCAAAACAAAAAAAACCAAACATAAGCGGGCCTCAGTTTCCTCATCTGAGAAGGAGATATGTGTGCCAACTGTGCTTCTCTGGCTGGAAGATCCCTCAGTCAAGTGCTCGGAGCTGGCAAAGCCCCTTCATACTTCCCTGGTGGTTCTGACTCCACTGTTGGGGACACAGGGTGAGCTGGACAGGGGCAGGGAGCCCAGGTACTGAACAGGCCGTGTGACCAACACTGCCCAAGCCTAGGACACAGAGACCAGAGCGACCTTGTGGGCGCTAGGAGGGGAGGTGCAGAGGCCTAGGGTCCCCCCAGGAACGGCCCCAGGGAACGTGAGTCGCCCCGGCTCCTCCTGGCTTCAGCTCTCAGCCACAGCCCCCAGTCAGCGCTGAGGAGCACAAAGGCGACCAGTGTCCTTTGGTGCTGCTCAAAAGCCTTCTGTGGCTGTTGGCTCCCCCAGCTCTCCCCTAGGAGGCAGGGCTGCAACAGGACAGGCCACCTGCGCCCTGTGACAAGAGGCTCTGTCTTGCTGGGTTTCTTTCTTTTTCTTTGGTGCTATCTTCTGTCCACCTCTTCTGGGCACTACAATTATAGTTGCTTCCCTGCCAGGCTCAGAGCACAATTTTTATTTATTCATTTATTTTTGAATGCTTTTTTTTTTTTTTTGGTACCAGGGATCGAACTTGGGACCTTGCGCTTGAGAGGCAGGTGGTGGAACCACTGAGCTAAATACCTGGCCCAATTCATTTATTTTTGAGACAGGGTCTTGCTATGTAGTTTAGGCTGGTCTTGAACTCACTATTAGCCCAAGCTGGCCTCAAGCTTGGTTAACCCTTCTGCCTCAGCCTCCTGAGTGCTGGGATTACAGGAGTGCATCACCACGCCCAGATGCACAGCACCAATTCTTGCTGAGTGACCACAGGACAGGAGAGGAGGGCTCCAAAAGGAACCATCTAGGAAGGACAGGCAGCACTGCAACTTATATAGGAGTCGGCCTCACGGGAAGGTTTGTTGGGTAATTCTGGTAACTTTCCTCTGGACTTTGCCCGATTTGAGGTGGGCCAAAGCCAACACTTAATTACCTGCTTAGGGAAGGGGGCTTCAGTAGCAAATTAAAAAGAAGGAATCCTTAGAATGCACATGCCAGCGTGGGCACGAGAGGCTCTGTAAATGGGGACACTTCCCGGGCAGGTGCTGGACCCAGATGAGGAGCTGAAGGCAGCAGAATGCTAGTCTGTGTCTGAGTTCATGAAAGTTCTCGAAACTTCCCCAGGAGAAGGGGTAAACCCATGGCTATGGCTGACGGGGCAGGCAAGGCTGAGTCTGCTCACCTTGACACATGAGGGCCAGCCTGTATGTTACAGAGCCTGGAGCAGCCCAAATGGAGAGAATGCTGTCCTAGGCACTGAGCAAGGCTGAAGGGGTTCCCCACCACGAGGGAAGCCACAGGCACAGCCCTACTGCTGTCTCACTTTACTCCTCTTTGGGGACCCATCCTCATTTCTGCTCTATGCAAATTGAATGGAGTTAAGACACTCTAAGCTTCGGGGAGGAGACGGGAAACAGACCTGCCAATGTGCTGCCCTACCATTGATTTAGGGATGGTCATGTGACCCAGCAAGAGCCAATGAGACTTGACAGAGCTGATGGCCACCATATTGCGGTTCTGAGTCCCCGGAACTTAACTGAGACTGGAGTCCACAGCCAGGACACAAAGTCAAAGGCAGAGAAAATGAGGCCTAGATCCAGTGAGCCTGAAGCTGAAACAACCTGCAACTTTGTGGTTACTTATCTAAGTTCCTTTTCTTCAGCTCCTTGACTTTTTTTTTTTTGGTACTGGGGATTGAACTCAGGTCCTTACACTTGCGAGGCAGGTGGTAGAACCACTGAGCTAAATCCCCTGCCCAGCTCCTTGACTTTTGATTGGACATGGAAAATCACTAACTAATCCATGATCAAAATAGTGTTGGAATCAAAGAAAGCTCTTCTGGGTCCATGCTTCATCCTTAGGAAATATTTACCCCTAGCTAGAATACGGGGTGTGGGGTGTCCAGCAGGGACCTAGAACGAAGCTAATATGCAATGTACAGTTCACAGAAAGCTTGGACAGCAGCTGCACGTGGACCCCAACACTCCAGGAGGCTGTCACCCCGTCACCCCTTCTATCGACACCAGGGCCCGAATTTGAACGAATTTTGAATCCTGTTCCACGCGGAGGGTCCACCTGTTACACAGCTGCACATGCTTTGCACTTGGCCACCCATAAGCTGGGAACCAGGCAAGACTTCTTGGATGCAACAGGATTCTAAAAGGGGAGGTGTGTGGGTCACCCCTACTTCCTCTCCCCCTGCACCCCAACCCACACCACCTGCTCTCACGAAGCTTCTGCTGAGTTTGGGGGAAGAGGACCTAGTCCCTGCGCAGTCAGCCAAGGGTGGAGCCTGGGGCCCGGAGAGACCACAGCGATGTGCCTCAGTTTCCTTTAGAGGACTGGTCGAGATGACCTGCAGGTCAGGACCTGGGACAGGGTTCTTAGCTCCCTAACCGGACCAGAGGTGTGAAGCCTTTAGGAGTCCACGAACCTCCTGAAATGGCATACAGAATTTCACGTCTCTTTTTTCCCCCAAGGACAAGGGCTCTAAATGTTCATCAGAATCCCAAAGGGATCTGATGATATCAAGGAGCACTGCAGCAGCTTAAAATCTTTGGGAAGCCTCTGGGTGCTGTCTCTGTTGTTCTCCCGGGACGACCAGCGCCCGTCACGCATGTATCAGGCACCAATGGACACTGAGTAGCTACAGAGGGCTGGGTGGGTTCGTCATCACTGAAGTGCGTACTGGGGGCGGCCGGGTCACTGAACACACCTCACAGCCAGGGTTTAAGCCCTTCAAACACGAGCCCCCTCCACATACCCCAGCCTTACTCCTGGTCCTCAGAAGCCACTTCCCACCCCACATGACACAGCAAGCAAGCTCTGGAGCATCAGCCACAGGCCCCAGCCTCCTCCTGGCCCCAGGCTCCTCAAACCTCTCCATCCAGAGACCCTGGAAGGAGATCTCCATTCAGGTAAGAGATGAACCCAGAGTCAGGGGCCAGGGGCTGAAGTCGGAGGTGGCATGAGCCCCGGGCAGTCACATATGGGCTGGAAGTGTGTCACTTACAGCCGCTTGATGCCGGACTCCGGCTGTGGGGACAGTCTCGGGTGCGCGACGGGTGTGGGCTCGGGTATTCGGGTCTCCTCTTCTATTTCTTCACTGGAAGGAGTGGAGAGGCATGAGGTAAATGAGTGAGAAGAATCTGTGAGAACTGGAACATTCCAGAAGGGTACTGTGGGAGGGTCCGAGAGGGTCGGTGAGATTAGCGGGCCCAAGAAGATGGTAACAGTGACTGCAGCCCCCGCACCATCTGCCCGAAGGGCTGGCCTCGAACAGAATTGCCCTGAGACGGCTGATCTCCACTGAGTAACCTGGCCTGTCAGCTGGCTGAGAGTGGGAGATCAGAAAGGCACACAACAGGGTGACCGGGTGGTCACCTCCGTGACCTTGAGGACAGCACCTTCCTCTCTGGCGCTCCTCCTCTGCTCAGCTTCCTGGACACCACCTAGCGAGCGCCTCTGCTCCGCCTCACCCTTCTGCCGTGCCATTCCTGCCTTGGAGGCAGGGACCAGGGACCTCACTTCTGGGCCCAGGAGCCAGGATAAGCCTCTCCTTTCAGGGTCGGCTGTGCCAGCAACAAGTGCGGCCCACAATCCTCCCCACTTCCTGTCTGCAGAATGCTTGTCTCACGCCTTTGGACTTCTTCCTCCTGGAGCGAGCTGTCCACCCCTCCTCGTGTCCCCATCGCAGAGGGCACCCTGGCCGGTGAAGAAGGCCTCGCTCCAGTGCCACCTCTGCCCCGAACGCCTGTTTCACCCCTCCCACTCTCGTCCTCCAGTACAGTCAGGGAAGCTCTCCTCCGCGCCAGCGCATTTTGGCCTTGCAGGGCTCACGTGAGGCCTTGCATCTTCTCTGCATCATGTTTCCCGGCTGCAGCAGGGACCACCTGCACTGCACCTGGCCCTCCCCCTGGCTCTCCCCGCCTCAGATAGCTGTGCACCTTCCATGCAGTAAGGAGAACTGAGCAAGGTGAACTGCGAGTGCAAGGCCAACCTGAACTACCTAGCAAGGCCCTGTCTCAAAAAATAAATACAATAAAACGCTGTGGGCCCCCATTTCAGCAAGGTGGGGTGAGTCTGTGTGTGGCTTCAGGTACCCGACCAGGACACGGAGGACAGGCTTGTCCTCAGCTGGCAGCCCTGGCCCGCACACCTCTTGTAGTAGGCCAGCTCTTCCTGCAGCAGGAACACCTTGGCCTTGAGCTCGTTCCTCTCATGCAGCACATCCCGCAGCTCCTGCAGCGTGAACCGGGGGCGGCTGGGGTCCTTGGGGTCCAAGGCCACCTTCTCCATGTCATCGGACACGCGCTCCTCTGTGCCCAGCTCTGTCTGCAGGAGGCAGAGATGCTGCTGATGAATTTCTGGCGGCCCCTCCTGCGCCCAGCACCTGCTCGGCATCCCACCTTCCCAAGAGCAGCTTGCCCAGGGCGCTATTTTCAGCACTCGGGGGCGGGCTCTGCTGGAGTTCTGTACGGTTTCCCCCCTCAAGATGGGAGCGGGTGGCCACCTGTTCATTGTCCCTTTCCATAGCCAGCCCTGTTGTCCCCACGCCTCCCCCAGCACCAGGGTTCTGTTACAAACACATTCAGAGGTGTCTAGAGAGAAAAAATGCCACATCTCCAGTGCCACCCCCCTCCTCAACCTGCCCACGTTTCCTTTTCCAACTTCTCCCATAGTCTCACTAAGACCAGTGCTAATCCCACCAAAGCGACTGAGTCGCAGCCTACACTCACTTCTCGGTTCCTCCCAGTCATTTCATGAAATCCTTTGTATTTATGCCTGTATCGGGCCCCCTGGCCAAGCCTTTCCTCCCCAGAGGCTCTTGGCATCTTGCCCTGGAGTCTGGTGGCAGCCTAGGCAGGGGACACACTTAGAAACTTTTTATCAATGCAGCCAAGCATGGTGGGACACGCCTGTCATCCCAGCCCTTGGGAGGCTGAGGCAGGAGGATTGCTGCAAATCTGAGGTCAGCCTGGGCTACACAGTGAGATCCTATCTCAAAAAACTGAAAGGAAAAAGAAGAAATTTTTCATCAATGCAGATGTCACAGATGGATCCCAGCCGGGGATTTAGCTCAATGGTTCTGCCACCTGCCTCACAAGCGCAAGGTCCTGAGTTCAATTCCCGGTACCAAAACAGATGGATCCCAGCTTCAGCTCAGTCACCTGCCTGGACTGAGCCCCAAACCTTGTCTTTCCCCCTTCTTCCAGGTTAGGGAGCCTTGCCTCTTTGAGTTTAGGGCAAAATGTAGCTCACCTAAGCTGACTGCCCTGTCCTCCTTCACGGGCACAGCTCAGTGGCATGCAGTAGGTTCATGAGGTTGTGCAGCTCCCCATCTAGTCCAGAACATTCTCTCTACCCCAGGAGGAAATGCCTCGCTCACCAAGCACTCACCGGTGCAAACTGCCGCCGGCTGTCCACTCTGTGGCTCTGCCTATCCGGGACATTTCCCAGCAATACATGGTCTTTTGGGTCCTACCTGGCACTCAGCGTCGGGTTTCCCAGCTCATCCATGTTGCAGCAAAATTTGCCTCCATTTATAAAAGAAATCGTTTTTTTGGTACCAGGGATTGAACTTGGGTCCTTGCACTTGCAAGGCAGGTGCAGAACCACTGAGCTAAATCCCTGGCCCCCCCAAAATTTTCTTTGAGACAAGCTCTTGCTATGTAACCCAGATGGCCTCAAAATCAAAACCCTCCTGTCTCAGCCTCCCAAGTGGTGGGGTCCCAAGTGTGCATCTCTGTGCCTGGCATAACTTCTCCTTTCTTTCTTTCTTTTTTTGGTACCAGGGATCAAACTCCAGCCCTTGCTCTTTTGAGGCAGGCGGCGGCACCACTGAGCTACATCCCCGGCCCTTCCCCTTTCTATGGCTGGATAGTTTCCCGCTTGACAAGAGTCCACACTTTGTCCAGCTCCTGTGCATGGTCATGAGGATGGCTGCTGCCTTTTGGCTACTGTGAAGAGCTATGTTCAGGCCCTTCCTGCACACGTGTCTGTCTGGACACAAGTTTCCCATTCTGTAGGGTACACACCTAGGCAGAGCCGCTGGGTCTTATGGGGACTCTTAACTCTGGGGATTTTTGTTTCATTTTTTGGTTTACTGGAGACAAGATCTCACTATGTAGTTCAGGCTGGCCTCAAACTCGTGGTGATCCTCCTGCCTCAGCCTCCTGAGTGCTGGGATTCCAAGCATGTACCACCATGGTTGGTGGCGACTCTAACTCTGAATTAACTTTTCTGTTTCCCACAGTGGCTGCAGGATTTTACATCCCCACCAGCAATGCCCCAGGGTTCTAGTTTCTCTACCTTCTGTTGCACCCAGGTCTTCATGAATGCTAAGCACAAGCTCTACCACTGAGCTATACCCCCCAGCCCATTTCCTTTTCTGTGTATGTATGTGGTCCTGGGGATTGAACCCAAGGCCTCTCAACTAAGCTATATCCCCAGCTCTTTTTAAATTTAAAACTTTGAGGCAGGATCCTGCCAAGTAGCTAAATTGCCCAGGCTGGGGTTGAACTCACAATCCTCCTGCCTCAGCCTCCCAGAGAGCGAGAATCACAGGTGTGCACCACCACCTGGCCCATTTCCCATTTTCTTTCATGGCAAGGGATTTGCGAACTGCCCCCAAGTCACCCTGCCAAATTTACAGGGCCTGGGTGGTCAAGGCAGTCGTGTCTCAGGCACCCTTATGCCCCCGTTCCATGCTCACCTCGAAAGACCAGACAGAGGCTGGGGTGGTGGCGGGAAAGCTGCGGGACAGGGGAAGGGACAGAAACAGGCACCCTGCCTAGGCCCCAAATGGCCCACAGTGGCACAGGGACCAGGGACTCCAGCAGGATGCTGGCATGAGGCCAAGAGTCCAGGACTCTGGCAGCCGAGCCAAGCTGCTCCGTGGAGTCTGGTACAGGCTGTTCTGGGAGGGGACGCTTGAGAGCGGATACCACCCAAATCAGGTGACAGAGGAGCCCCAGCAGGGAGGAGCCGCTGGAGCCACGATGACATCAGGGGGACTATCCCTGTCCTCACACTGCCCTGCTACAGAGTCCCGGCTGCTCTCCGCGCTTTCCACAGCCACAACTCAGCCCCGTCCTCCTCCTTTAGCAGTGACCGGAACTTAGCAGGCACCAAGAAAGCCAGTTCAGGTCTCGCCCGCTGCCTGGGTGGCCCAGGAGCATACCTGGGTGTCTAATATTCCTCTGGCACTTACTGAGCCTAACTCTGTGTCTTGCTGGTGGCTGAGCTCAGTGCTGGGCAGAGATCAGGATAGGTGGAGTGAAGGGAAGATGCACCTGAACAGACGTTTACGAGGTGGACGTCAAACGCTGGCAAGAATCAGGAAAATCTCACTGCAGAGGCGGTCTCTGTGCATGGGGTCCTGAAGCTGTGTAAGAGTTTGCCACAAACTGAACGTCACATGACAGACCAGAGGCAAAAGGGAGGCCCTCAGGTCACACCTGTGACTCTCATTTGGTTTGGTCCTCATTGTGTTCTAAAATCTATTGGCCAGTCATGGTGGACCATACCTGTAATCCCAGCACTCTGGGAGGCTGAGGCAGGAGGATCACTGTGAGTTCGAGGCCAGCCTGGGCTATACAGTGAGTTCAAGGGCAGCCTGAACTACACAGTGAGACCCCGGCTCAAATAGTAAACAAAAAGAAAGAAAAGGGCTGAAGATGTAGAAATGTTAAGGTCCTGGATTTAATTCCCACTGAAAATCAAATCAAACCTATTTAGTTGCTAAGTGTTTAAGATCGGGAGGTTTCATACCAAAGCCTGAGTGTAGTGCTTCATTTTGCAAACTTACTGCAGATGGCTCCCCACGGCCACCCGTGTTCCCTCCCCATGCCTCTCCCTCCCTGCCTGGGCCCTGCTGTGGCGCCAAACCCCAGGCCAGCTTTGCCTCCCCGGACAGCACTGGTCCTGCCGCTCCTGGGGACCTGCCTCTCGTGTCCCTGGAGGGGCCATTGGCCAGGGGTCTGCTCTCAGTGTGGACAGGGAAGAGCCCAAGAGGCCCTGGGCAGGGCTACACTCCTGGGCCTTCATGTCCCCTCCAGGCCTCAGTGACACAGTGCTACTTCCAAGTGCCCTTCCCAGGGTCCTCTGGACACACTCAGGACTGCTGTGGCTCTGGCCCCCCAGTTGGCCGTCCTCCTCCATGCCACAGAAGGGCATCCTGGACCTGAGCTCTTTTCTCTGCAGAAGGGACAGCTCTTTTGTGGGAGGCCCTGATGTCCTTGGAACTTGGGGGGCCTGTCAGATATGTAGGTTCCTGCCTTTGGGCCTGACTGCCTACAAATACCAGGCACCACAGACAGCCCGAGTCTAGGGCGGCATCAGATGATCAAAGTCCTTCTAGGCTTATTCCCCAGGGGATGCAAGGTGGCTCGGGTTATCTCCTGTTCGCTGGTCCCTGGGGGCTGCCTGGGGACAGCTGGAGGGAAAGCCCGCAGCCTGGCCACATGCCAAGGAGGCCTGGGAGACCAGCTGACAGGTACCAGACAGGCAGCACCCTGGACTGGCCTCCACCAAGAGGCCTCCTGTGCCTGTTCCCTACCGCCGGGCTCATCAGAGCACCCGTGAGCACCCTTTGGGACGGTCCCTGGCACTGCAGAGGGGACTTCTGCGGTCACATGCAGGGACTTCTGGGACCACCAGGTACAAGTTCCGGCTGCACTTAAACCCTGCTTCCCACACCAGCCACCAGGCCCTCACTTTAAAAAACAACTATGAAAGGTGGGCATGGCAGCACACACGTTATTCCAGCACTCTGGGAGGCTGAGGCAGGAGGATCCCAAGTTCAAGGACAGCCTGAGCAACTCAGTGAGACTCCTGTCTCAAAATAAAACTGTCCCCCATTTCTTTTAGGGGGAGGCAATTCCTTGCCACTGGGGGTGGCACCAAGGGACATGCTGTGACAAGAGCCTGCTGGAGTACTCCCTCCGAGTGGAAAGCAGGGCTTCACTGTCCTTCACAGCTGGGCAGGGCTGTGGATTGGGAGGACAGAACGGGCTCTGCTGGGGGCTGGGGTGGCTCTGTGGGGAGCACGTATCTGAGGCCCTAGGTTCCAGCACCACACAATCAGGGCGACAAGGAGACAGGTCCAGCAGGGTGGGGACGGTTTCCAGGGGACGCAGGGCAGGGCGGATAATGTGCCGGGGGCTGGGATGTCTCCAAGTTGGGCTCCCACCCCAGACCCCATAGCCCCCAGTGTCTGCAGCCTGCGGCACTGGCTGGCCACCGCTCTCACCTCCTCTGGAGCCCCATTCTGCGCTCCGCTCACCAGCCGCGCCCATCCCACACTTCCTGGGTCACACTGCCACTCCTGCGGGCCACAGGGCCTCTGCACACCTGCCCTCTGCCCGGGCCTCAGCCCCCAGCTCCTCCCTCAAGCTCCTCTGGGAGCCGTTTTGGTCTCTGGATGGTAATGGTGACGTCACAACAGTGAAGAGCGACTTCACACTTCGGGGAAAATACTCATTATTCTGGGTTTGTTGGTGCTGCTGTTTGGCTACTGGGGACTGACTGAATCCAGGGCTTTCCCACTGAGCTACATTTAGTTCCAGCCCTTTCTGTTTTAAGACAGGGTCTTGCTAAGTCACTGACTTGCCCACACTGGGCTCAAACTCATCAATCTTCCTGCCTCAGCCTCCCAAAGTGCTAGGATTACAGGTGAGTATCTCCACCCCCAGCTTTTAGTTTCTTGGTTTATTTTGTTGTTCTGAGACAGGATCTCACTATGTAGTTCAGGCTGGCCTTGAACTCAATGTGCAGCCCAGGCTGGTCGTAAACTCCTGATCCTCCTGCCTCAGCCTCCCGACTGCTGGGATTACACATGTGCACCATCAGACCCACCTATTATTCCTTTTTTTGGTACCAGAGATGGAACTCAGGTCTTTATGCTTGCACAGCAGGCAGCGAAACCACTGAGCTAAATCCCCGGCCCTATTATTCCTATTATTATGGAAAGAAACTGAGGCACAGACAGGCTAACAACATACTGAAGGCCACAGAGGAGGGAAGTGGTAGAACCTAGACAAACCCAGGCCACCTGGCTCACATGTGCAGGCCGCTGGCGACACCACAGCCAGCTCCGTGCCCCTCCTTCAGGCAGGGGCTACGTCCTTAACAGATCCAGATGGCAGCTGCATACTGTGACATCTGTATAAAGTTCAAGGTTCAGGCCGGGGGTTTAGCTCAGTGGCGCTCACAAATGCAAGGTCCCAAGTTCGATCTCCGGTACCAAAAAAATAAAATTAAAATTAAATAAAGTTCAAGGATTCCACAATGCCGAGCTGTGCCACCAGCAGCAGCACCGCTATCTCATTTCAGGAGATTCCCATCAGTCCAAAAGCAGTGCTGTGCCCACCAGAAGCAGCCCCCCCCACTGCCCCAGTCCTGCAGCCCATAGTGCTCTCTGGACTTGCCTGCTCTGGGCACTGCAGTGATGCAGCAGGTGACCTTCTGTGTCTGCTGCTGGGTGTGAGTGTGTGTGCGTGTGCACAGTACTGGGGACCGAAACCATGTCCTTTGCGATGAGCTACATCCCCAGCCTTTTTTATTTTCAGGCAGTCTTGCTAAGTCACTAAGTTGCCCAGGCTGGCCTTGAACTCAGAGCGATCCTCCTGTCTCAGCATCCAGAGTGCTAGGATCACAGGTGTGTGCCACCACACCTGGCTCCCACATTCCTTGAGGGTGGAATTGTGCTGCACTGAACTTAGGTTTATCCCTCCACACACTGCCCACCGCGCGTGCTGTCCCTAGCACCCCTGGCTCCTGTGGCCCTGTGTGACCCCTGACCCTGCCTCCATGCATAGCTGGGGGCTCTATGTGGACAGGAGCAGCTCTGTGCTTTGCTCACACTGTCCCTCTGAGACTGCTGTGTGGCTGACACTCATGTGAACAGATGAATGGAAGAATGAATGAATCAATCAATGGATGGGTGGGTGGATGGGTGAGTGGGTGGGTACATAGATTGATGAGTGGATGATGGATGGATGCATGGATGGATGGGTGGGTGGTTGGATAGGTGGATGGGTGGGTGAATGGCTGGGTGGATGAATGGATGGATAGGTGGATGGATGGAAAGATGGACACGGGGATGGATGGATGAGTGGATGGATGAGTGGATGCATGGGTGGGTGGATGGATGGATCGATGGATGGATGTGTGGACAGATGGATGCATGAGTGGATGCATGGGTGGGTGGATGGGTGTCAGGTGCCTGGGAACCATCACTGTGCTGACCACCTCCCACCAGAATCTGGGAGTTCTAGGCTCCAGGGCCTGCCCAGCCATATATCCTCAGGCAGCAACTTGCTCTGTCCATACCTCCCATTCTCTTAAGCATGATGGGGAAATCAAGGCAGCTCTCCCCTCCCACAACTGGGCAACACTTCCCACTCACCTCAGGCTCCTCCTGCCCGTTCTGGCTGAGCTCGCCCTGCAGCCTCTCGCGCAGCTTTCCGAGTTCCACCCGCAGGGTGCCCATCTCCTGCTCTTTGGTCTGCAGGTCTGCCTCCAGCTCCACCTTCTGCTCGATCAGGGCCTTCCCCTGGGCCTCCACCACAGTGACCCGGTGCCGAAGATCATGGTTGATCTTCATCAGTCGAGTCTGCTGCTGCTGCAGCTGCAAAGAGACAGAAGCCATTGCACAGGGCTGCCACATAGAGTAGCTCAGACTGTGCACTGCACAAAGCAAGCCATCTCCAGGTGTGCCAGGCATGCTGTGAACATTATTTGTTTGTGATCTGTTTATATTCTATGACATGGTTGACACCCAAGATGGGCAATCTGTGTATTTACTATGATAATTTTATGGCAGATAGAAGCTAAATGTCTTGCCAGAATATATTATGACAAGACACTTTTCCAACAGATGGAACCCATAGGTTTTGAGAATCAGGCGGTCACTGCTCAGGTACCAGGGGCAGCCTAGGGGCCTGTGCAGGCTGCTGCAGGAGCCTGGTCACAGCAGGGCCTCATCCCTCCTGCTCTCCTAGGAGACCTGGCGAGGTCTCCCCCACGCTGCTGTGTCGAACCCGCCCCCCCCTCCAGCCAGGGTCAGAACGTCCTGTCACCAGGAGGGGACGCCAGAGGGGAGGCTTGGAGTCCTGGGGGGAGGGGAGCGAGCAGGGGCAGATGCGGCCACACTTACAGCGTCCACGTCCTCGCTCTTCAGGCCGAGCTCGCGGTCCTTGGCGCGGATCTCATCACGCTGTTTGTCCACCACCTCCTTCAGCCTCTTCATCACCTGCCGCTCCCGCTCTGACATGCCTGGGGGCGGGACCAATGCTGAGCCACGCCCAATGCGTGCCTGGGCGGGGCCAAGGTGAGTCCGGCCCCTGTGACTCCAGCGCCTCTCCCCTTCCTCCCCACCCGGCGCCTGTCCCTGCTGTTCCCTCTGGCCCAGTACCTTCCCTCCGACCCACCCGCCGCCTGGGGTCTCGCTGTCCCATCTGCCCAGAGCCTGTCCCTCCCCGTGTCCCCATTACTCTGTTAGCTTCTCCTCATCCCGCCCCATGTCGCCTTCAAGCCACTCTCAGCAACCGGGAATCTCAAACATCCGGTCCTTAGCAGGTGGCTACACAGCCCAGCGGAGCCGCCTCTAGCCAGTGGCCCTGGGCTGCCTCAGGCCTCTGTGGCCAAATGCACAACGTGGGCAGCTGGTGCTTGGCCAGGGCGCTGGGGGACAGGAGGATCCCTGCACCCACCCTGCACCAGGAGGGGCTCGGGCCTGCTGTCCGGGTCCTGCTTGTTCCCATTGGGCCACCTGAGCCCAGAGGAGACCACAGGGGCAGGAGGCGAGGCAGGGCGGTCTCCCTGAGCCCCACCCAGCCCCACCCAGCACCGCAGGCAGCAGTGGCCATTAGGGGAGGGTGACTGGCTGAGCCACACACGCAGGCGCCCTGTGACCTTCCTGTGACTGCTGTACAAATGGTCGACAAGTCTGGTAGCTTTATGCCAGCCACGGTGGCGCTCACGCCTGTGACTGCACCACTGGGGAGGCTGAGAGGAGGATCCCTGGAGTGAGGCCAGCCTGGCCTACATAGCAAAACCCCATCTTAACACAAACAAACCAACCCAGAAAACAAAAGAGAACAAAACAACCAAATGTGTGGCTTAAACCATCAGAAGCTTCACTTTCTCATCATTCCAGAAGGTAGAAGTTCAAAGTCAGCTCAGACAACTGTGCCTCTCCTCTAGTGTCCCTTGGCCAGGGCCACCTTGCCCTGGCCGTCCTCCCTGGTCACATGGCCTCCTCCTCCATGTCACGCCCTCTGCCTCCATGTGACCGGCACATGTGTGATGCCTCTAGGGCTCAGGTGGGACCCAGGACGGAGTCCCGATCCCACCATCACCTCTGCACTCTGGTGATGCCACAGCTCCAGAGAGGGGACCTGGCAGGGCAGGTTGGGTCCCTCATTCAGCTCAGCCCAACCCAGCCTCAACCACAGTGGGAGGGGCACCCAGAGGACGCCTGGCCCCACTACCTGGCCCCCAGGAAGAGAGCCTGGGGTGAAGGCCTCCCTGAGTGGCTCCAGCCCACCCCGATATTCCTCATCTCTGGGTGTCCCCATCCACTGCCAGGAGCCAGCAGTTTGCAGAAGGGTGTGTGACATGGCCGGGCCGCAGCCCCTGCCCCACAGCACTTGGGACGCCACAGCGACAGTCCCAGAGCTCAGCTGGGTGGCTCAGTCATCCCTGCCCTGCAGGATCGGCCCCTCCCCTTCAGTCCCCAGGGTGGTCCCGACAGGCCCAGCTGTCTTCTTCCGCCAACCAGGGAAGAGGGTGCTACTGACAGCCGTGCTTTTTATTTTATTTTATTTTGGGGTTGTTTTGAGACAGGGTCTCACTATGTAGTTCAGGCTGGCCTTGAACTCACTGGGTAACCCAGTCTTGCCTGGAACTGGAACTTGAGGTGATCTTCCTGCCTCAGCCTCCTGAGTGTTGAGATTACAGGGGCAGGGCCAGGGATTTAACTCAGTGGTTCCGACGCCTGCCTCAAAAGCGCAAGATCCCGAGTTCAACCCCCGGTACCAAAAAAAAAAAAAAAGAGAGAGAGATGACAGGTGCACACCACCATGCTGGGCCTTTATTTTCCCTGCTGTTGCTTTAACACCATTCCGATTTTACAGGTATAGAAAACTGAGGCCCTGAGACAAACTGCTCCAAGTCCCGGTGCTGGGACTCAGACCCAGGTTTTCCTTGCCATGACACCAGGCCACCTCACCCCCAGAGGATGGTGCAGAGGCCACCATGCACACGGCCGTGGTTTGCAAGCCAGTCTCCATTTGGTGGTCTGCAAAGTGGGTTTGCTGATGGCCCCTCCACTCCTCACCTCGCTGACACCAGCCAGGCTGAGACAGGAGGATCAAAAGCTTGAGGCCAGCCTGGGCAACTTAGTGAGATCCTGTCTCAAAGTAAAAGGAGAGCTAGGGACAGAACTCAGTGCTCCCTGGGTTCAACCCCTAGTACCGCTCCCCATCCCCCCAAACAGGAAATCTGCATATCCACGGTACAGATGCACTTATTACTACTAGATGGTGTGCTTCAAAAAGACTAAGATGAGCCGGCGTGGTGGTGCACACCTGTGAGTGTGAGCCCAGCCTGGGCGACTCACCAAGACCCTGTCTCAGCATCAAAAATAAGAAGGGCTGGGGTTGTGGCTCAGTGCAAAGGCCCTGGGTTCAGTCCCCAGTACAGAAGGAAAGAAAGAAAAGAAGAAAAGGAAGGAAGGAAGGAAGGAAGGAAGAAAGAAAGAAAGAAAGAAGGAAAGAAAGAAAGAAAAAAGATCAAGACAGCACATTTCATGCTACATGCATTCTCACTACGTTGGCGCCCACACACCCCTACTGGGATGCAAAGACTGAGTATGAAAAAAAGGATGGCAAATTTCCCTGCTGACAGTTTCACTGAGTTTCACTGATTACAGCGAAAAGGTAGCATTTTGGGTCTACTGGGTTACATAGATTAAGACCACCCTCACCTGTTTTTGTTGCTTTTTCTCCTGGGCCAATAGAAAGACCCCGCCTCTGTTCCCTGCAGTCCCCGCTTGCGAGGCCACCTCCCCTCACTCCCTAAGCTGCTCCTGAGGACTGAAGGACTCTTCCCACCCGAGGGTCTCTCTGCACCCCAAGCCGGACGCAGACACCTGTGATTCACTTCGCTGTCTGCTGGTGAGTAGTTTCCACTGGTCACCGGCAGCTAGGAAGATGGGCTCCCCCACCGGGGGTGGGGGCGCATTTGAATCTGGACACTTTGCTGGGTACTAGTGTCCTCCCAGCACTGTGGGAGGCTGAGGCAGGAGGATCGCAGGTTTGAGGTCAGCCTGGACAGCTTAGCAAGATCCTGTCTCACAAGAGAATTCTTTTTTAAAGGGGCTGGGGATGCAGCTCGGTGAAGCGCACCTAGGTCTGAGCCCCAGTGCCGCACATCAGGCTCCAGGTGAGGACTGGCTCTTCCAGGCACCCCTCACCCCAGCTCACCACCTGCCTCTGCCAGGTGCCTGCCTGTTGTCTCTCCAGCACCCGGTCCTGACTTCCTCCTCCCAGGACCTGGTCTCCCCACCATGTGTCCCACTTTGTCCCTGCCATGATGAGCTCAGCAGTGACCCAGGATGCTGCAGGGGCAGAGCAAGCTCCCAGCGTGCACTGGGAAGGCCATGCACTGCACCCAGGAGCTGGGCTAGCGGCTCTCCAGGTCTCTGGGGCTTCACTGGGCAGGCAGAGGAGTCCCCAGGTCACCGCATGTGCTCTGCAGAGATGTCACTGACAAAAGGGTGGTAACATAGCCTGGCATGGTGGCGCACACCTGTAATCCCAGTGCCCAGCAGGACTGCCACAAGTTCAAGACCTGGGCTACACAGTGAGTTCAAGACCAGCCTGGCCTACATAGCGAGACCCTGTCTCAAAAAAACAAAAACCAAAAAGATGGCGACAGGGTCCTCAATGAAGCTCACCTTAGTACCATGTGCCCCAGCATCCAGACTCCTGCCAGCGCCCCAAAGAGGCAATCATACGAGTGCACACAGATGGCCGCCACAGCACCACCAGCCAGAAGCCAGAAAGAGCCCCGCGTCCCTCAGAGGGTGGGTGGATGAAGACTTGTGCTCTGTCCACAAGGGGCCTGGCTCTGGCAAGGGAAGGAGGAAGGAAGGAGGATGGGCTGACACAGGCCGGCACAGGGACATGGCTCAAAACACCTGGCTAAGTAAAAGAAGCCAGGCGCAACCTGGGCAAGGCGGTGCACCCTGTAATAACGGCATTTTAGGGGCTGAGGCAGGAAGGAAGACTGCAAGTTCCAGCCCAGCCTGGCCAACTTCAGAGACTTGGCAGGACCCTTTCTGAAAACAGAAACATGAAAAGAGGGCTCGCGATGCAGCTCAATGCAAAGGCCTCAGGCTCAAGTCCCAGCATCCTCTTCCTCCCACCCCCCAGAAGGCAGGCAGGGAGACACAAAAGGCCACATGGTATCTGCTCCCACGGCTGGAAATGTCCAGCACAGGCCAGTCCACAGAGACAGCAGGCTCTCGGTCGCTCATGGCTGGGTCAGGGTGGAGGCCGACCAGATGGCCCCACGCAAGCACATGGGTTTGCTGGCTTTGGTTCTGCAGAGCTGGGGACAGAATCCAGGCCCTGTGCACACGTGGCTTACGCTCAGCACCGAGCTGCACCCCCAGCTGAAGAAGTGCTGAGAAGCTGAACAACAGTGCTCAGGGCCGCCCGACCCAGGGCTCCACTAGGACCTCTGAGCCGTCCACCTTGAGCAGGAGACTCCTATGGCTTGGGCGAGGCATCTCAAGAATTCTCCCTCACTGGGACCCGACCTTGAAGGAGCTCAGCCTGATGCCCAAGCCCCGGGGACAGAGGCTCGCTGGGAAGGGTGGAGCTCCAGCAGCTGAGATGAGGCAGCCGGTGCCCTGGTACCATCAACCCCAAGCTGGGCCCTGCTGCTCCCCAAGAGGGGAAGCAGCAGGTCACACCAATATGCAAATTTTGCAGGACATCGGAAACAGGGAAATTGTGGGCCACAAACTCCAGGGCGGCCCCATGGATCGGATCCAGGAACAGCAGGAGGATATTGCTCTAAACCACTCACTTCCAAACAATGTCTGAAGGTTACTGTTTTCTTTTTTGGTGCCGGGGATTGAACTCGGGACCTTGCACTTGGGAGGCAGGTGGCAGAACCACTGAGCTAAGTCCCTGGCCCTCTTTTGTTTTTCTTTTGTTTTTGGTACCGGTGATTGAACTCGGGTCCTTGCGCTTGCGCAGCAGGCGGCGAAACCACTGAGCTAAATCCCCGGCCCCCTCTTTTGTTTTTTTAAGACAGGGTCTTCCTATGAAGTTCAGACTTGAACTCAACATGTAGACCAGACTGGCCTTTAACTCTCGGTGATCTTGCCTCAGCCTCCCGAACACTTGGTTGCCCTCAGTGCTCCTTGAGCCCCAGGGCCTTTGGACTTGCTTCTTCCCAAGGTGTTTGCAGCTCACTCTACCACTTTAGGGCCTCTTGACCTCCTCAGTGACCGTCTCTAACGAAGCCACAGATTGCTCTCCGATGCCCCCGCATTAGCACTGCAGAAGTCTAGAACCTGACCATCTATTTGTCTGTTCACACACTCCTCACCTCTCCTCTGCTCTAGAATGAGATGGGGAAGGCAGGATCTGGGTCCTGGGCCCAGAGAAGCATCTGGCATGGGGGAGCCCGTAACAGCGGCCTGTAGAACGGACCTGTGTGCTGTCATCTCCAGGCCGGCAGACAGTGACGTGAACAAAAGTGACAACAGGGGCATGGAAATGCGAGTGCAGGCACAGCATGATCAAGGTGCTCACAGGACAGGCAGCCCTTACCTTCGTGCTTCTGGAACTCCTCCTCTGAGAAGCCGACGTCCTTGTGGGAGAGGTTGGTCATCAGCTGCTTGTTCTCCTCCTGCAGCTGGGCGATCTGCGACAGGAGGTCCTGCGCCTCCCCTCGCCACACGTCCTCCACCAGCTCCAGCTCCTGCGGGGCAGACGCACGGTCACAGCCTGCCCAGGTGGTGGCCTCACCCAGCCGGCCAGTGGGTGCAGCTGGGGCCTCGGGGCCACAGGTGCTGGGCTAGAGATGGTGCCCTCCTCTGGCTGTGGCCCACACCTCCACCGGAGGGTCTCAAATAGGCTGTGCACTTCCCAGCTGTGAGGCAGAGGAGCAGGCCCCGCCTCTCAGGGTCCCAAGCCCCGGTCTCAAGGCATAGGCTCACAAACCACTCTCCAAGGGAGTCCGGAACACCCAGGTGACAGCAACGCTGTCCCCAGGCCCTCTGACCTCTGACACAGGTGTCTCTCCAGGGGCCTCCAGCAAGTCACCTGAGTGTCTGGGGCCTCAGCTGGGGGCCACACTTTCAGGCTCACGCAGTAGATGCAAGGGCAAATAAGACCGGTCTAAAGCCAGGAGCGCCAGTCCAGGCTGGCCCAGAACTCTCCAAGATCCTTCTGCCTCTGCCTCCCAGTGCTGAGGTCACAGGTGTGCACCACCACACCCAGCTAAAAAAGGTGTATTTGTAAAAGCAGAAACTGTTCAGGAAGCAGTACTGCTGCTGCCTGTACACACTCAGGGTCCAAGGCATGGACTGCAGCGTGTCAACCCGAGTCTGAACCCTGTCTCTGTGGTGATGGGCACATCACTCCCTTTGGTTGGCCCGGAAATGAGCAGGACGGTGCAGTGGATCCCTCGGAGGCTGCCAGGAGGATTAAATGGAGCTCTAGTGGAGTGCTGGCACCTGCCCCAGGTCCCAAGAGAGGCGAGGAGGCGTCTGATGCCTCCACTCCTCCCATGTCGGTCACAGGTGGCTGGATGGGCATCGTCACCGCCTCCTCCATTCATCTTCTAAATAAGTCTCTAACCACCTCCCCAGCCAAGAACCCTGTGGTACTGGGGCCCCAGGAGGAATTAACTAAGCACACAGGCAGCAGGTTCAAGGTCACCAGGGGAGCTGAAGGGTGAGTTCAGGGTCAGAAATGCTGGGATGACTGGGTGTTGTGGTGCGTGCCTGTGATCCCAGCACTTGGGAGGCTGAGGCAGGAGGATCGCTGCCAGTTCGAGGCCAGCCTGGGCCACATAGCAAGACTCTGTCTCAAAACCCCCAGAAAAGAAGTGGAGCAATGATGGTGATGGACAGGATGCCTGGCGCCCTCAGGGAGCCTGGCTCTTCCACCCGCGGCTCCTTGAAGTTCAGTGCAGTGAGCCGGAGCCTGACTGTGAGTGACTGTGCAGCGGAAGGGGCTCCTCGGACACGATTAAGCCAAGGATGTGAATGGGGGTGAGCATGGGCGTCCAGGGATCTGTGCAACCACAGGGTCCCCAGGGGGAGGCACAGGGGCCACAGAAGCAGAGGGACCAGAGGACTGAGGAAGGGGTGTGGCGGCACACACCTGTGATCCCTGCACCCAGGAGGCGAGGCCGGAGGGTCCCCACGAGTGTGAGGCCAGCTTGAGCTAGACAGCAAGACCTTGTCTCAAAAAACAAACATGAGAAAAAGAAGGAAAGAAAGAGAGAAATGAAAAGAAAGGGAGAGAGAAAAGCAGTTTTCCTCTAGAGTGTCCCAAAGGGAGACAGGGTTGTGCTATGTAGCTCAGGCTGGCCCGAACTCCTGGCAATCCTCCTGCCTCAGCCTCCTGACACCGAACTTCTCTTTTTTGCAGCACTGGTGATGGAACCCAGGGCCTGGCACGCGTTTGGGACATGCGCCACTGCTGAATGGCAACCCTGACACCTGGATGTTAACCCCATTTCTGACACATAATCCGAAGACTTGACCCACATGCACCCACAATGCTGCCTCACCCGAACCTGAAGCTCCTCAGAGTACGTGCTGGGCCCCAGTGACTGATGCCTGCTGTTCTGAGCCACTAAGCAAGTGCTACTATGCCATAGCAGCCGTAGGATACGAATACCGACTTAATACTCAGTGGTTGGGATGTCCCCCCTGTACGATTCTGGGGATGAAACCCAGGGGCGGTTTACCCGTGAGCTCCATCCCCAGCCTTTTTTATTTTTATTTTGAGACAGTCTCTGTAAATCGCCCCAGGACAATTCTCCTGCCTCAGCATCCTGTGTAGCTGCCATCACAGGTCTGCATGACCACACCCGCTGGGTTCTTTTTTCCTTCCTCTCAGTGTGCTAATGTCTAGGTTAGCAATTGGTTCCCTGCTGCCGAGCTGACCATGGAGAATTTAATCCTGCCTCACCAGGCTGAGAAGGTAGCGCTGATTCATCAACTCTGGCTTCTTTCAAACTCCTTCTCCAGCCTGTAAGCGCCAGCATCTCCAACCTCACCCCCATTCCTCTTTCTCATGCTGCTCCAGCCACACTGGAGTGTGTTCCTACCCCAGGACCTTTGCACCTGCTATTGCCGCTCGGGACCCTCTCCCCAGATCTCCCTGTGGCTGGCCCCTTCTCTTCACGCATATCTCAGCTCAAAAGACTCCCCTTAGGCAGGCTTTCCTGGGGTCTCATCTATTCCACCTGCAAGCCAGCCAGGCTTGTCACATCTCTCCGCTTTACTTCCTTTGGGGCACTCAATCATAAGCTGGGTGTGTAGCTCAGTGGTGGGCGCTGGGGGAGCTCATCCAAGGCCCTAGGTTCCATCTGCACACCAAAAACACCCTGCCTCCTTCCACTTGAACTGCAACTTCCTGCAGAAGAGAGTCCAACCACCTGGGGCTTGGGGCCCTGGAAAGGCTAGTCTCCAGCACAGCCTGTGATCTCAGGACTCCGGAGGGAGGATGAGGCAGGAGGGTTGCCTCGAGTTCAAGGCCAGCCTGGAAGCGGCTGGTCTGGATTAAAAGTCCAGTGGGGTTAAACACACCAGATTGCAGAGGTGTGGCAGGAAAGAGAACGACAAATACCCCTCACAGATGGGCTTTACCAGGAATATATACTGGAGTAAAAATGTCCTGACCTGCTAGGTTCTGTGAGATCCACTATAGTTAACCTCACTGTGTCTTCCTATGCGCTCAGCAAGCCACACTCTACTATGGAATGGCACTGTCTGCTCAGTGCCAGAACAGTGTTGGGCACATAATAGGTACTCAAGAAACACATTTGTTGAATGACTGTATGAACACCACAGGCTGCTTATGTCACATGCAATTGTAGCCACATGGCTGCTCTTTCTAGAGACTACTGTTATGTTTTCCCTGTCACCTCGGTCACCCTCCTGCCCGCTGACATAAGAACCAGCTTTGCTCTGTCCTGCATTACCCCACCCACATCACTGAGGAGGGCCTTTTGTATGCTGTGGACCATCAACAGGGTTGCAGACTGAGGAAGGAGACAACTCAATAGGTCTGTGGCCTAGGGTGGGTAAGGAGTGGGGCTGAGTGGGTGTGGGTCTGGGTCTGGGGCTGGGTGGGCAGGGTTCAGGCTTTCCTGCAGCCACACTCCCTGGGAGAGGGGACAACCAGGGAAAGGGGCCTGGTGGCGGGGAGGATCCCACCTAGGTGAGATCCTCCCCTCTGCTAACAAACAGGCCCTGGCCTGGGAGCCCAGAGCAACCAGTGCCTCTGCTGTGCTGCTGGCTCCACCCTCCTGCAGGCCAGTGACCTGCAGTGACCAGGACAGAGGTGCCACCAAGACATCGTGACAAGCTGAAGCCCCAGCCCCGTTAGCCCCGTAACTTACACTGCAGCGCCCTTGCCAGACAGGTGCTGGCCCCAGGGTTCAGTGTCCCCCCTCTCAGGCCTCCCGCAGCTCCTCGAGGCAGGGCATGGTCATCTCACTTGAAGGCTGAGGAAACTGAGGCACGGGGCGGTAGGGGATTTGCCCAAGATACACAGCCTCCAGAGGCAGGGTCTGAGACCTGGCTGTCCAGCTGCAAAGTCCCCTCCTGGGAGTCCCAAATCTCCCCTGAGGACTGAGGACGGTCCAGGCTTCCTGTGTCACCGTGGCAATGGCACCCAACTGCACCTCAAGTTTCCTTCCTACCCTGGGCCTAGGACCAGGACAGGCACTGGGATGAGACCAAGCTCTTGACACCCACCAGGCTGCCCTTGGCCAAGCTTGTACAGCCAGATTTGGCCATTTTCCTTGAGAACACATGGTTCTGTCAGAGGGGGCAATATAATGCTGGCCAGGGAGGCTCAGAAAGGTCAAGGGTATTTCCTAAGGCCACACAGCAAGCCCGGGCCTGCTCTGGCACCTTGATCCCCCAAGGAAAGGCGTTTCCTCCCATTCTCCGTGGGAAGGGCTGAGGTTAGGGCAGGAAACCACATGTCTCCCACTTCCTCCTCTGGGTACCTTGTCTGGACTCCCAGCCCGCAGGGGAGGCCCCCATTCCGAGAGCCGCCTGCTCCTGGGGCAGACGCTGGCCTCAAAGCTGCAGCGAACCAAGAATCAAGCGGGTGGGAAGAGCCCGCTCCCCCTGGGGCTGGGACGCCTCACGGTCTCGGGACAAATCCCTCCCCACACTAACCCGCGCGGTTTCCTCTTCTGTCCCAGGAAGCTAATCCTACCTCGCAGAGTCCAGGGCAGAAAAGCGCCCGGGGGGAGGTCAGTAGACTAGGGGCGGCCGGGGAGAAAGCGGCAAAGATGAACCCGGGGCTCTAGCACGGGGCAGGATCCAGACAGGGGCCTGGGAACCCCAAAGGGCAGGGGCTTGTTTCATTCCTGGAGAAGGACGCTACCTAAGTGTCTTCTCAACCCATTCCTAGAAGCTGGGCCCTGGAGGACGGCGGTCTAACAGGCGGGGGCATCAAGCAGACGCCTTAAGCAACTTGGCCCTGGCCACCGACGCTAAGCGAGCGCAGGAGCTCGGGTCTGCAGTGTCCGGCCGGGGCCCGCGCCCACCTTCTGGTGCTTGCGCTCCTTCTCGATGCGGTCCATCCGCTCCACGCGCAGCCGGTCCAGCTCCAGGCGCAGCTCGTCCAGCTCGGGCGCGACGTGGTGGCGGCTGACCAGCACCTCCAGGATCTCCAGGACGCGCACGACCTTGGGCATGAGGCGCGCGATGGCCTCGCAGCCGTGCTGGTCGATGACCCGCTCGAACTCGTGGCCCACGAGAGACGCGATGTCGTACACGTCCATGACGGTCAGCTCGGCCACGTTCTTCTCCAGCACGCACCCGGCCGCCGGCGCCGACCCCCGCTCCTCCTCCATGCCAGCCCGAGGTCGGCGACTCCGCTCGGCTCCGCTCGGCTCGGCTGCGGGCTGGGGGGGCACGGGCGGGGCCCGGGGGGGGGGAGGCGCGCGTGCACGGCCCCCGGAGCCCCCGAACCGGGCACCGACTGCGCGCCGCGGGGCGCGGGGCCGGCGGGAGGGGACGGCGCCGCCGCGGCCTGGCAGGAAGGGCGGCCCGTGGCGCCTGCGGGAAACTTTGGCGTCGGCGGCGAGGCCGGGGGACTGGCGCCCCCCGCGGGATGCCGCGCGCCCCGCCCCGAGCCCGGCCGTGGGCCTGGAGAGGGTACCGCCTCCGCCCCCGTCCCGGCTCTCGTCACCGCCCCGCCCCGCCGCGCGCTCCCGTGCCCCCCCGACCCGCACTGGCCCCGCCCCATCGCTGATCTCCCCGCCCCTGGGAGGGGTCGGGGCTGGAGTGCGCGCGTCCGCGGGAGGTTTCTGGTCACGGCCCGCGTCCCACCGGCTCCGCTGAGCGGCCCTGTCCGGCCCTGTCCAGCCCCGCCCGCCCTTCCGCAGCACTTCTACCCACCGCGCTCCCCTCGTCCACCCTTCCGCCCCCACCCGACGGCACGGGGCCCTCACCGGAGCCTCTGCCGCCGGGCCATTGGGGTCCTTGACCTCGAAGGCCGGACCCGGCCGGGCCACCCGGCCTTCTGCGGATTTGTTTCCGAACTGCCAGGGTAGGGCCGGGCTCAGTGTAGGGCGCCTGCCTAGGGTGTGCGGTGCCCCGGGGCTTCATCTCCGGCATCGCAAAAAAAAGAAAAAGTTTAAGATGTGCTGAGTATTTGATGTACATTTAGCTGAAACATACATGGTGCTCACCCCGTGGTAAGTAAGATTCCAAGTGCTTTGCAGGGTTCCTCCAGGGGTTCCCCAAGTGTGGCCTGAGGCCAGCTGAGCTCCCCAAAGCCCACCCGGCCAGCGACTCGGGATATTTTGTTTGGGAGCAAGCACGGTGGTTGTTATTGTTGTTTGTGGTCCTGGGGGTTGAATTCAGGGCCTTCTGCTTGCAAGGCGAGCCCTCTGCCACTGAGCTACATCCCAGCTCTTCTTATTTACTAGTTTGTGACAGGGTCTTGTTAACTTGTCCAGGCTGGTCTGGAGCTTGTGATCCTTCTGCCTCAGCCTTTCCACTTGCTGGAATTACAGGCTGCATCTTTGAGGGAGGAGGTGTCACTCACTTGGTCTTGCAGACCCTCGGCGAGTCCACTCTGCCCTGAAAGCCCAGTCAGCTGAGACTGGGATTAGGAGCCACAGGGAGTTTGCAGCCTGTGCCTGGGTCTGGGAAGGGATAGGGGTGAGAATTCCTTTAAGATGAGAAAGGAGCGGAGCCTGGTGGTGCACTCCTATAATTCCACCATTTGAGAGGCTGAGACAGGAGGATCACTGCAAGTTCCAGACCAGCCTGGGCTACATGGTTTTAAAGACCATCCTGAATTACAGGATTTGAGACCTTGTCTCAAAAAACAAAACAAAAAAAGCCAGGCATGGTGGCACATGTCTATAATCACAGCACTCTGGGAGGCTGAGGCAGGAGAATCACAAGTGTTTGAGCCCAGCCTGGAAACTATGGGGACTTAGTGAATACCTGTCTTAAAATAAATAAAAGAAGACCTGCATGGCATGGAGTACATGCTTGTAATCCTAGAACTTGGGAGGCTGAAGCAGAAGAATTGCCACAAATTCAAGGCCAGCTTGGACTCAGAAGGGCTGAGTATGTAGCTCAGTGTGAAGGCCTTGGGGTTAATCTCAAGTACTAGAAAAAAAAAGATTGGATTTGAATTCAATTGGATTTGATTTATTTGATAATGTATCCTATCAATTTTTTTTTTTTGGTACCGGGGATCAAACTCAGGTCCTTGCACTTGTGCAGCAGGTGGTGAAACCACTGAGCTAAATCCCCGGCCCTCCTATTAATTTTTGAGGGGAGAAGGAATTTATTTTTATTTTTTTAGATATAAATCACATGTGGTTTTTCTTTTGAGACAGAGTTTTGCTATGTAGTTCAGACTGAACTTGAACTCACTATATAGCCTACGTTGGCCTCAAACTCACAGTGACCTTCCTGCCTCAGTCTCCCAAGTGCTGGGATCACAAGCATGCGCCACCACATCTGGCGACTCCCTTTCACTTAATTAAAACATTTTTGTTTGTTTGTTTGGGTTTTTTTGGTACCGGGGATCGAACTCGGGTCCTTGCATTTGCATAGCAGGCAGTGAAACCACTGAGCTAAATCCCTGGCCCAAAACATTTTTGTTTGTTTGTTTGTTTTGTACTGGGGGTTGAACTCAGGACCTTGAGCTTCTGAGGCAGGCACTGTGCCACTGAGCTAAATTCCTGGCCCTGTTTGTTTGTTTTGAGACAGGGTCTCACTGTGTAGCCCAGGCTGGCCTCAAACTTGTGATCCTCCTGCCTCTGCCTCCTGAGTGCTGGGATCACAGATGTGCACCACCACACCTGGATAATCACTGTACTTTCTGAACATTTTCATTAAACCCCCCAAAAAAACCTTAGTAGTAATCATTAGTAGTCACTTTCCTTTCTCCCCTGGCCCATCACTGACTACGCACCTACTCTCTGTCTCTATGGATTTTGCTATTCCGAACATTTCCTATGAATGGAACACTGCAACACATGACCTTGTATGTCTGGCTTCTTTCACTCAGAGTGTTTCTGAGATTTATCCATGTCATAGCATGTATCAGAGCTCCTTTCCATGCTTGTGTAATATTCCACCATTGGGCTGTACCACATTTTGTTTATCCACTCATTTGTGAATGAGCTTTTGGATGATTTTTGCTTTTTTGCTCTTCTGAATAACACTACATGTCCATAGTGTTTTTGTGTGGACATGTGTTTTCATGTCTTTTAGAGGGACCCACAGGATGGAGGATTGAATTCCTGGATCATATGGTAACCGTTTAACCTGAGAATCACCAGGCTGTTTTTCAAAGGGCTGCAGTGGCTCACATTCCTTTCCAGAGTGTGTGCATTCCAGTCACTGCAAAGCTCCCCAGCACCTGTCATCACCTGTCCTTTTCCTTGTTTCCTCAGTACTGGGGGTGGAACCCAGAGCCACATACAGGTGGGGCAAGTGCTTCGCTGCTGACACCTGCCCTTGTGCTTATAACCATCCTCATCAATGTGAAGCCAGAGCGTCATGATTGTTATTCACCTAGTGTTAAAAATGTTTTAATTAAGGCAAATAGAGAGTCACCAGGTGTGGTGGGGCACGCCTGTGATCCCAGCACTCAGGAGGCTGAGGCAGGATCGCTGTGAATTTGAAGCCAGCCTGGGCTACATAGTGAGTTCAAGGCCAGCCTGAACAACATAGAAAGATCCTGTCTTGAAAAAAAGACTTAATTTTGCTGGGGATTTAGCTCAGTGGTTCTGCTGCCTGGCCCCAAAAGCATGAGGTCTCGAGTTTGATCTCCAGTACCAAAAAAAGAAAGACAATTTATTTTATTTATTTACTCAATCCCCGGTACCAAAAAAAAATAAAAATAAATAAGTAAATACATATGGTAAGCACACGGTACTGAATATAGCCACAATCATGAAAGTGAGACTTAGATGACTGCAGATCATTTCTTTTTTGTTGTTGTTTGTTGGGTTTTTTTGGTACTGGGGATCGAACTTGGGACCTTGAGCTTGCAAGGCAGGCAGTGGAACCACTGAGCTAAATCCCTGGCCCTGCAGATCCTTTCTTTGATTTTGTTTTGAGACAGGGTCTCATGATGTAGTCCAGGCTGGCCTCTAGCTCACAGCAATCTTCCTGCCTCAGCCTCCCAAGTGCTGCGTCACAGAGGTGTAATTGATACTTTGATATGTTTTAAATGCTTAGACCCAGGCACTGTGAGACCAGGGATGCCTCTTCCATCCTCCCTCTCCCCCCTGCTCTACATCCCAGGAAGCTTACTTGCATGAGTGAACCAGGTAAAAGGTCTGCTGTCCTTGCTGGGTTCCGGCTGGACCTGCCCATTGAGGGGCAGCTGGAGAGCAGTGCGCCCGGGCCGGGTCCCTTGGCCAGGGCAGGGACAGCTCTGTGCTCCTGGCAGCCCCAGGGCTCTGGCGCATCGCCTGGGTCCCCATGTCCCCAGCCCTGTGCTGGTCCTGGAGCTGAGCTGGTGCTGCTTCTCCCAGCTTCTGGGGGCCACCTGTTTGCAGCTGCACCCAACCCTCCTTGAGACAGGAAAGCACTGGTGCTTTCACAGCATGCAGTCGGCAAACTCCCGGCCAGAGACCTCAGATTCCTGGGCTGGCTTTGCAGCCACCACTGTGACAGTCTTGTTAAACTCTTCCCAGATGACCCTGTGTGGAAAATGCTTTCTTACTGCTGCCTGGTGACTGCCTGATGCATGGACACTTATGACTCCCCCAGAGCCTCATGTGCTCATGGGTCAGGCTTTTGGGAGAGACTGAGTCATGAGTGTGTGACACTGGATTGTAGGCCTGTGATGCTGAGTCGTGGGTGTGTGATGCTGGATTAGTCCACTGACTGGTTTAGCACAGTGCTGGATGTGGCTGAATGGATTTACCGGACAGGGAAGCCCCACCCCAGGTGTGGGTGGCATCACCCAATAGGCTTGCAGCCTGCATGGAATGAAAGGGAAAGAAGGAAAGTGGCTGCTTCCTGCCTACCCTGCCTGGACTGTTTCTCTCTGCCATGCCACTCTGCCTTGGAGCCAGCTGACCACGGACTGAACCTCTACAAACAGTGAGCTAAAGTAAACTCTTCTTCCTTTAATTTGTGGGTGTCAGGTATTTTGTCTCAGCAATGAGAAAGTAACCAAGGCAGACCCAATTCTTTTTAAAGAGGTTAGAGTCTAAGGGCACATAAAAAGAATTAAGATGTATTATTATCAACTCTCCATGATGAATGTGATCATTATTACTATTTTGTTGAGTCAGGGTCTCACTATGTAGCCCAAGCTGGCCTCATACTCGCAGTGATCCTCATGCCTCAGCCTTTGGAGTGAGTGTGCTAAGCATTTTGTAAATAAACCCAACAAAATGGGTTGTATTATCTCATTTACAGAAGAGGGAACTGAGAA